AAAAAAAAAAAAAAACCCAACAACTGATCAGTCCTGAATTACGTACGTTGTACGTTCGTACGTGACGCAGCGACTTTAAATATGGCTGACAGAGAAAACACAACTATGGAAGTAGACAAGGGAGAGAATAAACCTTGTTTAAAACAGGTTAAGTCAGTATTTGACGACAATACGCAAAGCTCGGGCAAACAGCCGAATCCAGAGGGAAAAACGGGCCCAGCTGAAAGTCGCAGCACGGCGGAATACTGCGAGAAGCTACAGACATGGATGTGGCAGTACTACACTGGATATGTGAACTGGCAAAGCTGGCTGGCAGCCTCAACGATGTCCTGCTCTTATTACGTACAGCCACCCAGCGGAACCTCGACGGCTGGTGATTTCAGCCCTCATAGTTTGCACAATAATGTCCCGTTTGGGTTTCCGTTGTCGCCTTATCCAGCTGCGGTCAACTCGCCGAGCGGCCGAGTGGGAGACGCCGCTGTCGGAGCTGCAGCGGCCGGTCAGCAGCAGCCGCAAGCGAACGGAAACGCCCAGAGACCAAGTAATAACTGCTGTTCTCTTAAAAAAAAATACTTTATAACCTGTATTTTATTAATCTTATAGCCAGATCCTCTCTATTTCCAGCACATAAAATAATAGGCCTATACATCACGCCAACATCTCTTACAATAAATCATTTAGTGATTGCTGACATTATGACTTTTGTGTCGATTAAAGGAAATAAATAGAATTTTTGTGGAAACACTTGATAACCCTCTGATCTATAGATTTGTCTAAAAATATTCGTAAAAAACTGTTAAGACCTCAGTGTTTAAAAGAAAAGAGTTGGGTTTATGTTTGTCATAGTTTAAAATAAAAGTCTGTGTCCTAAAATTAGGGATGCACAATATTAGATTTTTGGACGATATCTGATATGCCGATATGCTAAAACTTATTTGGCCGATAACCGATATCAATACTATTTTTTTTCCCCTAGACCTACTTATAGAGACTACACAGCTTTCTCTGCTGTGGAATTAAAATACTACATTATTCTGCACGGGCTTTGTCAGTTTGGCCTGCTATCAAATGCAGATGCCAAAAAGGGGCTGAAAATGATGTAATACTATATAAATATTATAAACAGCACCTTTTATATCGATGCATTATTTTTGATGGAATGATAGATGCTCGATATTTAACTTTTATCGCTAATTTCGGCCAATACCATGCCGATAATGTGCATCCCTGCCTAAAATAATTAAAGGTTTTGGTTTTCGTCTTTTCTCCAGGTCGGGAGTACTACATTCCCTCCCCACTCCAAAGACTCATGGCTGAAATGGTGGATTTCTTCATCTTGTTTTTCATCAAAGCAACTATAATCATTAGTATTATGCATCTAAGTGGAATCAAGTGAGTTAAAAGAAAAGGGCACCAGTGTTTTTTTTTTTAAATTTTTTTAATCTTTATAAAAAGGCAAAACATTTGATAAACATAAAGCAGTTATTTAGAGCTGTGTATTTTTCCTTGAATTTTCAGAGACGTTTCCAAGTTTGCCATGCATTTCATAGTGGAGGAGATCGATGAAGACACGTCGATGGAGGAGCTACAGAAAATGATGCTTGTTGCCCTCGTGTACCGGATTCTAGTGTGTTTTTATGAGGTGAGCGCTCACAGCAATTCTGAAGGTTGTGAAATGTGTGCTTTCATTTGAATTATTTACTGAAAAAATATTTTGGAGTTTCACCTCCTCCCCCATCTCTCCCAGATTGTGTGCATTTGGGGAGCAGGAGGTGCCACCCCGGGGAAGTTTCTCCTGGGACTCAGAGTCGTCACGTGTGACTCGTCAGTTCTGGTTCAGCCCAACAGAGTACTTGTGATTCCGGCTACTAACGTATCTCTGTCTGCGTGAGTGTCTTTTGTTTTGTTTTCTTTCTGGTTATATTTCAGAAACTTTCTCATCAATCTGAGTACAACAGGTAAATTAAATCTTGGTTCTGTCTCCCCACACAGGTCCACGGTCCGAGCCTTGAACAAGAACTTTTCCATTGCATTCTTTTTCCCGGCCTTCATCACGCTCCTCTTCTTCCAGCACAACAGGACTGTGTACGATATGGTCGCTGGGACAATCGTCGTCAAGCGATCTAGGGTCAGATGACGCTGAAGTGGACACAAAAGAACAAATCGTACGATAACTCTGAACAGAAACAAGATTTTTTTAAATATAAAAATGCCCACAGAACTGCTATGTTCAGGTATCACTGGAACGTAGGAGTTTTAGGCTGAGAGTTTGAATCCGTTCGACGTGCTTCGGTTCACTGCGACCTGGGACTTGTTTGTTTTGGACAGACACAAACTGTATTCCTGCATGCATGTCCTCATGCTGCGCTCACTATCTGCTCCTGTGTCCACTTGTCTGATGGAACACAGGAAGAACGATGGTAAACACACTTTTATTACCTTGTTTTAAACTCTCGTTCAGATTAAGGGCGAACGTTGTGTATCACTCAGTATTTAAATGTCCGATTATGCATTTGTGTAATTTCACCTTTAGTATCTCATCATATTACAGCCAAACTTTACAGCTGTTTCCAGAAACAGTTTGTTGAGTGGTTGTTCAACATTCAAAGAAATTAAAATGAGCATTTTTACAGCATTAAATATTGGAGAACTAAGAAAATACATTTTAGTTTTATACACAAATTAAGTTGTGTATTTGATTTTCATTCCTAATGTTCTCTGAAATAAACACAGCCTTTGCTGAACAGGAAGTTGTCCGCATGCATCCGAAAGCATTTCTCTTTCTTACACGTGCACGGAAACAGCACTTATTCTTTACTGATGCTGGTTTTGATGGATGGTTTCTTCAGGTTTCCTCTCAGTTCTTCTTTAATTAGCTGTTCAAATGTTGTTTTGGACAGCCGCTGTGTTTACAGACTAGTTCTGAGAGGTGCTTTGAGCTCGAAGTAATTTCAACAGAATCAAGACCGCTTTAGTGCCTGAACATTACGGCCACCTAGTATTAACTTTCAGCCTGTGTCACATGCAGGGACTTTATCTAAATGATAAAACGCTCCATATTCCTTGAACTTGTGATATTTGGAAAAGATATTCATAAATTGTTGCGCTGTTTGCCCACATAATCAATTATTCTACTTTAAAATCCTCAAGACTCTTCTGGATCTCTTATTCATATTTAATCATGGTGCCTAACTGTTGCCTCTTAATTGGTTTTGGAGACATAAAAAAAACCTTGTTTGTTTCATTTGGCCTGAAAATGTTGCCATGGAATTAAACATTTCTAAAAGTAAAACAAATCACAGTTGAATAATCTGGATTTATAACCCTTGTTATTTAGGCTGATTGTTTTCTGGTTTAAATAACTTTCATATAACTACTTTGTGGTGTTTTTGTGTCAGTATGGGTCAGACTGCTGTCTGACCCAATGATCTTCATCACTTTAACAGGGACACATCATCCTCTGCTTGCTCAGCAGCTGAAACGCCAATGGATTAAATGAACATGTAAACTTGACCAGAGCTCCACTTTATTCTGATATCATCTGTATGGCTGAAAGGCTGAGGTGTTTTGATGTTAACAGTTTCATGAAGGCAAATTAAATTAAACCACCTCTGGTTACTCGTCTGAAATCTTATCTGTTTGTTTGGATTGTGCTTTAGGCTCTGAATGCGCCACTCCTTTTGGACTAACGAGGAGGAAAACCCTGAATAAATATTCTTTGAATTATTTTACACACAGCAGTGAATTACGAATTTAGTCATGATGATTCAGAAGGTAAAGAAAAAAATAAAATAAAAACAGTTTGACTCCCAGTAGATAGGACAAAACATCTTTTACAAGTTGAGCTGAATTGCTACAAAAGTCAACCTATTTGTGACTCATGCTGGTAAAACTAGTAGGAGCGAAGCGAGAATATAGGTTTTTACAATAAGTGAGATTTGCATAAGAATAAAGATTGTCTAGTGATTCCAGTAACTAAATTAGCATAAAATCTTCCTAATTTACCTTGAAAGTAGACATATGTCTTGGCAATTATTTTTTTGTAACTTTTTTAAACTGACCCATTTTGGCTGCCATATCTCTGGGAAATCCCTTTGTATAATGTTTAGCTTCATTGTGAAGCTTAATGTTCCCCCTTTATAAATATAAGGCCGAAAATTCCCGATGACGTCATCTTAGACCAAAAATATTAAAAAATTAAAGCGTTTTATTCTTGAAAACAAAACCAGTTTGTTGCCAGATGAGGTGGTGAATCACCAAATTTCAACAAACTTTATAATTTTAAAGCTTTTAAAATTGAGACGTTAAAAACAATATGATTGACAAAAAATGATCCTCATTGTGACACATTTGTCACATTTTTTAAAGTTGCTACATTGTCTTTGTTCTAGTTGTGATTTTTAGAATTCATCACAATTTTTGTTATTGTGTCAGAACATATTATTATTACTGTTATTAATAATAATAATAATAATAATAATAATAGTAGTAATAATAATAATAGCCCTTTCTGGGTGGAGTTTGCATGTTCTCTTCATGCATGCGTGGGTTTTCTCCAGGTACTCCGGTTTCTTCTTACAGACCAAAAACATACATGTTGGGCTGATTAGTAACTCTAAATTGTCCCTAGGTGAGAATGAGAGAGTGAATGGTTGTTTGTCTCATTCATCTCCATGTGTCCCTGTGATGGACTGGAGACCTGTCCAGGGCGTCCCCCACCTCTCACAAAGTGACAGCTGGATATGGGCACCAGTGACTCCCACGACCCAGAAAGGAAGAAGCGGGTAAAGAAATGTATGAATAGATAATAAACAATTTCTGTAATATTTTCTTGTCTATCTCAGGAGTTTGTCTCCATCTAGTGTATATTTATTGTTAAATCTGTTGTTATTGTGCAGGGATGCCTTGTAACCAACATGCTTACTGCCCTACAAGTTTTATTTTAGAGAAACATAAAAATCTTAAATAAACCAAACATCTCCATATGGGCCACCGACAGGTCTTTAGAGCAGCTGCTTGTTAAAGACACCATGTATATCCTGCTTGATGGGGGATCAGAAAGCTCGAGTTGTTGGGAAGTGTTGACATGGTGATGGTGTCAGGCAGCTTCAGGTGACAGCCACAGACGGTGCAGCGACTTGGCATAGGAACTGGATTATTATGATCCAAAGACACGAGGAACTCTCCCCAGGATTGGACAGTGAGCAATCTGAAGCTTGGGAGCTTGTGGGAGAAAAACCTTAAGGGCTCATTCATCTGTTTGGTTTTTGGCAAAGTTTTGTGAGAAACAGTAATGAATCTCTCATCCAATGAGGTAAACCCAGTGATTTATTAAAACACAACATTTGTCACCAATCAGACTGAGGACCATTATGGTTTCTGCAATAAATGAGGTTTTGAGAATAACACTCAAGCCCACATAGGAGGTGAACAGTGCAGCGGGGATGTTTAGGGGAAAAAGCAGTGCACAAACAGTAAAGTACGTTTAATCATGGTTGTTAGGAATAAAACAAGCTTTGATGACAAATTGTGGAAAATAACATACAAACCGGATTCCAAAAAAGTTGTGACACTAAACAAATGGTGAATTAAAACTGAATGCAATGATGTGGAGATGGCAAATGTCAATATTTTATTCATAATATAACATAGATGACAGATCAAAAGTTTAATCTGAGTAAATGTAACATTTTAAATGAAAAATATGTTGATTCAAAATTTCACAGTGTCAACAAATCCCAAAAAAGTTGGGACAAGTAGCAATAAGTGGCTGGATAAAGGAAACTGAGCATATAACGAACAGCTGGAAGACCAATTAACACTAATTAGGTCAATTGACAACATGATTGGGTATAAAAAGAGCTTCTCAGAGTGTCAGTGTCTCTCAGAAGCCAAGATGGTAAGAGGATCACCAATTCCACCATTGTTGCACAGAAAGATAGTGCAGCAATACCAGAATGGTGTTACCCAGCGTAAAATAGCAAAGACTTTTAAGTTATCATCATCAACCGTGCATAACATCATCAAAAGATTCAGAGAATCTGGAACAATCGCTGTGCGTAAGGGTCGAGGCTGTAAAACTCTACAGGATGCTCGTGATCTCCGGGCTCTTAAACATCACTGCACCTCAAACAGGAATGCCACTGTCAAGGAAATAACAGAATGGGCTCAGGAATACTTCCAGAAAGCATTGTCAGTGAACACAATCCACCGTGCCATCCGCCGTTGCCAGCTGAAACTCTACAGTGCAAAGAGGAAGCCATTTCTAAGCAAGCTCCACAAGCTCAGACGTTTGCACTGGGCCAGGGGTCATTTAAAATGGAGTGTGGCAAAATGGAAGACTGTTCTGTGGTCAGATGAGTCATGATTTGAAGTTCTTTATGGAACACTGGGACGACATGTCATCCGGACCAGAGAGGACAAGGATAGCCCAAGTTGTTATCAACGCTCCGTTCAGAAGCCTACATTACTGATGGTATGGGGTTGCATGAGCGCTTGTGGCATGGGCAGCTTGCATGTCTGGAAAGGCACCATTAATGCAGAGAACTATGTTCAGGTTCTAGAACAACATATGCTCCCATTTAGACGTCATCTCTTTCAGGGAAGACCCTGCATTTTTCAACACGATAATGCCAGACCACATTCTGCAGCAATCACAACATCATGGCTACGTAGGAGAAGGATCCGGGTACTGAAATGGCCAGCCTGCTGTCCAGATCTTTCACCTATAGAGAACATTTGGTGCATCATAAAGAGGAAGGTGCGACAAAGAAAGCCCAAGACGATTGAACAGTTAGAGGCCTGTATTAGACATGAATGGGAGAGCATTCCTATTTCTAAACTTGAGAAACTGGTCTCCTCTGTCCCCAGACGTCTGTTGAGTGTTGTAAGAAGAAGGGGGGATGCCACACAGTGGTAAAAATGGACAAGTCCCAACTTTTTTGGGATTTGTTGACGCCATGAAATTTGGAAACAACAGATTTTTCCCTTAAAATGATACATTCAGTTTAAACTTTTGATCTGTGATTTGTGTTCTATTCTGAATAAAATATTACATGTTGGCACCTCCACATCATTGCATTCAGTTTTTATTCACAATTTGTTTAGTGTCCCAACTTTTTGGAATCCGGTTTGTAATATGGGTTGGTGAATATAATGTTTAATTGTGAATTATGGAAAATAGATCATATAAAGATGACTAGAACATCTGTCAGATGTGTAAACTAGGCCATAAGC